AAGTGCTGCTTTGCAGGGCTTGGGCACTTGTATTGGGGTCATGGCATGGGGTGCCCCGGTGCGTGGCTGTGTGCCGCGCTGGGAGGGAGGCGGTGACAAGAAATTCGGGGTGGGTTAAGATCCAGAGGAGCAGCCAAGAGACCTCACCTCGTCCCCTGGGAGCTGGGGGAATGGGGCAGGGGAAGGAGACAAAGCCCAAACTTTCAGATGTCCTGAGCCTGCTTCCTAACCCACCCCACGCGTGGCAGCTGCCAGTTACGCAGCAGCTGGCTTGCCCAGAGGCAATAATATTGGTGTTGGGGCTGAGGCTTTGCTCCGAATGCGTATGATAAACCTGCTACAGCGAGGCATCGTGACACACGTGGTCCTTGGACCGTGCTCCTGCTAAGGCACGTGTGGGTACCAGCCGTGTCCAGCTTCCAGCAGCCTGGGATGGAAATCGGATCCGCAGAGCAGCCTCAGTGCCCCGTGTAGCAAAGCGGGGGGGCTTGAGGGTGAAGGGCTGCCCCATCCTCACGGGTGCCAGCTCACCTCCTAAGAAGCGCAGGGAGGACATGATGGAGCCGATCCAGCTGACGCGCTCGGAGGAGCCCCCCACCTCCTCCTGGAAAGCCACGAAGAAAATCCCAAAGGTCTTCAGCATCCCCATCACGAGGACGTTGACCTGAAGCAGACGGAGGTGAGATGCCACAGGGGTCAGGGAAAGCTTCTGCTTCTGCTCCTGCTTTTCTTGTATGGGTAATTTGTGTTTGGGGAGAAACAAACTGGGACACGTTAACTGGTTTAGTGTGTGTTGGGGAGTGTCAGCAGGGCGAACTGGTGGTGGCCACACTGCGGTTTATTAATAGACCCTCAAAAAACCTGTGCCAACTGGCTTGTCCAGAGAAAAGGAAGAAAATAACATTAGAGCCTGACTCTTGTTAGGGTTTTTTTGCTCTGTAAGTGATTTTTAATACTAAAAAATAATCTGAATAGGTTTGAGCACTCTGAGTGATCACTAGGAGTTGGCGAGGTGTTGAGCGGAGCAGGGATGGACGTTAGCCACTGCGGTTTCCCAGGCCTGCCCTGCCATGGGGGCAAAGGACAGTTTGTGTCTTTAATTTTAACTCCCCCCACCCCCTCCTCCCCGGTAGCAGGAGGGGATTAATGATTGGCAGCGAGTTACTGTGGATGGAGTGGAGCGGGGGAAAGCTTTCCTGCGCTTCCCAGCTTTCCTGGCTGGGGGATGGCGTTGTCTTCATCACCGATGGGTAGATGGTGTGTGCTGTTAAAGCCTGTAGCACAGAGAATGAGTGCCTTTAAGCGGTGTTGAGGTGCTGGGTCCTCCCGAGAGAGCGTGACTGAGCGTGTGTGCGCTTGTGCCCTGAGCTGCTCCTGCAGTCCATCCCTGGGGACCCATCTCGGATCAAATCCTCTGCTGGCCCAGGGTGGGATCTCACCCTGACCGAAGTTACAAGACACCCCAAGGTTCTCCTCCCCCTCTACTCTGCCCTGGTGAGGCCCCGTCTGCAGTGCTGCGTCCAGTGCTGGGCTCCCCAGTTCAAGAAAGATGAGGAGCTACTGGAGACAGTCCAGCGGAGGGCTATGAGGATGAGGAGGGGACTGGAGCATCTCTCCTAAGAGGAGAGGCTGAGGGAGCTGGGCTTGTTCAGCCTGGAGAAGAGAAGGCTGAGAGGGGACCTTAGAAATGCCTCTAAATATCTGCAGGGTGGGGGTCAGGAGGACGGGGCCAGACTCTTTCCAGTGGTGTCCAGTGACAGGACAAGGGACAACGGGCACAAAATGAAGCAGAGGAAGCTCCAGCTGAAGATGCAGCTATTATAGTATTTGCAAACACTAGCAGAACTCTGACTCTTCTACATTCAGCGTTATGTCTGGAGAATAAAGAAACAGTATATGAACACATACCGCGGTGCTGTGCAGCCTGCTCTGGGTGACCCTGCTTGGGCAGGGGGTTGGGCTGGGTGACCCACAGAGGTCCCTGCCAACCCCCAACATTCTGTGATTCTGTGACACCCCATCTGACCGTCCCAAGCTGCCTTTTGGCCCTGGGCAGCAGGCTGGGCCCCCTCAGTTACACCACTGAGATGTTTTCAGGTGACCTTGCTTGGGGGAAGGTGCATGTTGGTGCTCAGCCTGCAGTGAAATGGGTGATGGCGACCGTGCAGCAAAGCACGGCTGATTTTTGCCCTTAGCTCGGTGGGATCAGCCTGTCCCATCCTCTGCTCCCTGTGAGACTCGGCTTTCTCCCAGCCCCAGCTGCAGGAGGGTGTAGGTGAATTTGTTCTCTGCTTACCAGGAAGAAGTGAAAGACCACTCCCCATGCCCACCCTCTGTCCGCAGCTGCGGCGCCTGGGCTCTTCCCGGCTGCCGGAACCTCCGGCTCTTCCTCCTTCCTTTCCCCTGGAAGTGAGAATTTCAGAACACATCAACACCTCGCTCCGTTGCTGTTTGGATTCAAAAACTGCTCCCATGAGGGCAATCAGCTGCCTGTGAGCCCTTGGCTGCTCATGAGGTAGGCACCAGTGTTTCACATTCAGCTTGCGAAAGCTTTTGAGGGTGGGCGAAGCTTTTGCCAACAGATGTGAGGTTGCACATGATCGCTGCCTGCAACCAGTTTAATGTCCTTTCTCTTTCCCACCAAATTACTGTGACCGCTGAAGTTTTAAGGGATTTTAAGTGACAAGCACCTTACTGCCGCTATAGAGCAGCTCATTTAGTTTGTGCCAGAAGCTGGGGGGACACCGTCTATCTGTATCCATCTGTGAGCTCCAGCGGGAAGCTCTCCCTTCCCCATCCTTCTCTGCTCGTCCCCGTCCCTCCTCTCGCCCATCCCATGCCTCTGGCAGCGGCAGGATCCTGCCCGAGGGAGCAGCTGGAACCCCAGAGCGGTCAGGGCTGATGAACCTGAGACTTTTCCTTACCACTCTGCTGCCTCATGCTGGCAAATCCTCCCTGAAACGGCCGGTGGCAAAGACGAATTGTTTCTTCATTTGCTCCAGAGACTAAATCCTCCCTTCCTGACGTGGCACCCCAAAGTCTGGTCCTTCATTCGCCTCCGGTGAGGATGACTGTGTCCGTCGTTCCTGACGAGCCCCGAAGCGGGACATGGAGCCCTGTGAGCACTGGGGCTGGGTGGACAGAGCCCGTCCTCCTCCTCCTCGGAGGCAGAGCCCGGCTTGCAGGGCCCCAAGGCCAGGAGTCCCTCCCCTTCCCCAGCCGGGAGAGGAAACCCAGGGCTTTCGGAGCAGAAATCCTGTTGGGCGGAAAGAGGACGGGAAGCCTGCGAGGGTTATAGCTCCAGGCAAAGCCCTGGCTCTTGCCAGGCGTTGAGCGGAGCAGGGTGGCAATGGACTGAAGCCAAGCCTGGGGTGCTGGCAGCTGCAGAGGAGCGGAGCCCCCGCCCTGCCTGTCCCGCCTGCACTGCCTCTGTGCATGGCTCTTGGCCCGGGAAACTGCGTCCCTTAAGAGGGGATAGTCTGGAAAGCTTTAGGTTTTCCAGCCAAGATGCTCGGCAGCTGGAGCGGAGCAGCCCTGCCGCTGCTGGTAGCTGAGCAGGATTTGACTTGGCTCCGTGCCTCTATTGTAAATACTCCCGGGTAAATACAGCCCTCACGCGTCCTCCCCCCGTTTCGGTTGACCTGTCACCCCAGTCGGCGTTCCTGAAGTCAGATAAAATTCTGGGAGCGTGATACCTGTCTCTGCTCCCCTCCCTTGGCAGAGAAGGCGATGCTTTACCTTGCTGTAGGTGCCCAGGACAGAGGTGTATCGGAGCCTACGGAAGAACTTTCCCCATAGCAGGGCTTGTGATATGTGCATTAAGCTTTTATTTAAGTGGATTGGTTTTTGCAGTGAGTATGGTTTAAGGGCTGAAGGATGGGGGGCTTGGCAGGCGGGGGGCTGGGGGGGGGGGCTGGCAGCGGCAGCAGTGCCTGGTGTGGTGTCTGTACTGGGAGCTGTCGGATGGCCAGGAGGAAACGCTCCGGCTCGAGCTGCTCCCAGGGTGAGGGGAGAACAGGGACCCTCCGACACCCCCACAGATCTCCGACAACACACCAACTCCAGCTGCCCAGGCCAGGTCGTTCTGCAGAATTAACCCTGACCTCAACAGGCAGCTCATCCCTCCTGCCCCTTCCTGGGAACGTCGCTGACAAGCGGAGCTGCTCCTAGCAGTGAAGTCAAAGCAGCGTGAACGTCGCCTCACCCCTGACCCAGCCCGCTTTGTTCGCTCGTGCTCTGCAGGGCAGCTGCTTTTCACCCCCTCACGCACGGGAAGCATCCGCGTGCAGCAGATTATTTTCAAGCCTTTCCGCAGGGTTGTTTCCTGCACCATTTCAAATGCTCAGATCTGGCTTTGTGAGGACGCTGTCAGCATCCATTTACAGCTCACACGGGGACTGGGCAGCGCCAGCTCGTACAGGTTTGAACTTCAATCCAAGGCACGGTAAGCAAACAATTCTCACACAGAACGTTTAACTAGAGGAGGCTAAACATTTCCTAGGAGAAATTCCTCTGGAAGTGTTTGTGCCTTTTCTACTGGAGGGGCCTCCATTAATTCCAGTCTTTGTGCACTGCTCCCTTTCTCTAGAGAAATGCTAAAGAAGAAGGGACTGGGGGAAGTTACCTAACTTGGCCCTGGAAACAAGACAAAGCGATGGGCAACAGTTTTCACAGCAGGAGCAGAGAGAAGCAAAGACCTGTTTTTGCAGGTCGTTTATTATTTCTCCAACAAATAAGGCCACACACACACATACACCTTGTAGCATCTGATCGTTACATGAGCCCAGTGAGTGACCCACGTTTCATCCTCAGCAGCATGAGTGCTAAAGTGTGAGTCGGAGACCCCGATAGCCACGCAGGAGCCGTTAAGTGGAGAGGGAGAGCCTTCAGCCCAGGTTTGGTACTGTGAGCACGTTCTGCGCTGGAGCAGCAGAGGAGAGTGGTTGTCCAGTGAGGAGGAGCCGGAGGTGGGAGCGGAACGCTGCGCAGGTTCCTGGGGGTCAGGATGCCAGCTTGTGCACTGCTACAGTGATGCTGTCGTGCTTCTGGATCATGATATTCCTAGAAGGAGAAAGTGCGGAGGCAGGTGAGAAGCCAGCTGTGACGAGGAGGAGCCGACGGGGGTGGGGAGCTGCACAGGGGTATCGCTCGGTGGCTGCAGCAACCCCGAGCTCTGCGCTAGAGCTGTCGGTCGCTGCATCTCTTCTGCCTGCTCCCAGCAAGAGCATTGGAGAAGCCTTTATCTACCACACTGACTGGCTACAGCACAGGCTTCATTATGCATGGAGATCCCAAGTGTGGAGGAAGGAAGGAGCTGCAGTAGCCACCACCCCCTGACAGGTTTCCTACTGCTTTTATAGTTCGTGCTCCTCGAGGTCTCACTAATCTAATGAATTCGCATGCTTAGGGCAGCGACTGCCTTCAGAGATGGGGCTTCCTCCATGTCTGCCAGCTCAGCTCAAGCTGAGGAGAGCTGCTTCAGGGATCTGACTCCACGGTGAGCGCCAGGGCTGGGGGGGGAACAGGCAAACAGAATGGAAAGACAGCAGCCCCGGGCTGGGAACTCACCCGCTGTCCGACTCCAGGCACACCACGGGCGTATCGGTCGGGTCAGAGGTGAGCTTGGCTGCCTGCTGGGCGAGGACGGAGATGACGCCGGCGTGCTCGTCCGAGAGGGTTCCTCGGCCTGCAAGAGGTGGGTGACGCTGGCTGAAGCCCCCCGCATGCCGTGAAGGGGCTTTGTGT